AGGAGAGGAGAGGAGAGGAGAGGAGAGGAAAGGAAAGGAAAGGAAAGGAAAGGAAAGGAAAGGAAAGGAAAGGAAAGGAAAGGAAAGGAGAACAAAGTAAGCAGGCAGCTTTTAGCATCTAATAGAAGAAAATGAGCCAATTCTTTGGGGAATTCTTTTTCCTGGCAACACATTCTTGGAAGAATGCATGTGACAGAACACCCCAGGGGAATGTCCTGGTGTTGGGAAGTAGGCCACCTCGTCTGGAGGGCTCGGAAATTCCAGCAGGGCACTGGGAGGAGGTCAGGCAGCTGTGCTGCTAGCTCCCCAGGGCCCTGGGGAGGAAGGATGTTGCTCAGGAGGGCAGGAGCAGGGGAGGGGGCTGGGGAGGCGGCATGGGACAAAGGACTGGTCTGCCCTGCCGCACAGAAGGGCCTGGGCGCTGCTTAGGGACTAGAGGGGGGAGAAGAATCAGGAAGGCTGGAGCAGGCTGGCTGACCGGCTGAGGTAGGGAGGCAGCTGGGAGTGTGTAGGAGGGAAAACCATGAAGGCAAGGGCTGCCCATTCGCACTCTCTAGGCCTAGGGTCAGGAGGTGGAACGGGGTCCAAAAAGTGTGTATCTGAAGGACAAAGAAGGAAAGAGGAGGAGGCGAGAGAAGCAAAAAGGAGGAAGCACAGGAGCAGGAGAAGAGGCAAGGAGACAGGGAAGAGAGAGGAGAAGAAAGAAACACATGGATGGAGGCAGAGAAAGGGAAGGAGCAAAAGAAAGAAGAGGAATGCACAGCTGGGAGGACAGCGAGAGGAACAAAGCAAACGGCCCGGCCTCGCTGCTAGGAGAGGCTCGCTGCTCCTGCTGTCCCACACCTGCCCCCTCTGCACCAACTTTATAGCAAATTCTAAATTAAAAAATTGCCTCAAATTTTCAAATACAGAAGCTAGTCTTTGTTACTTTAGTTTAAGAGTTCATTTCTCTATGTTTTGGCTTTTAAAGTTTCATAGAACATTTCAACTTGTCAAAAAAAAAAATCACCTAGTTTTGCTCAAAATAGCATTTTATAGAAACTTCCACATTTTTGCCCAAATGGCCCGGGTTTGGGTCTGTGTTGGTGCTGACAGATGAGCCGTTATCCTTGGCATAGCCATGACTCAGCTTGTTCAAAATGAAACTTCTGAGGACTCAAACCACGCCCTCTCAACACCAGCATGGTGGCCTGTGTGTCCCCTCTGAAGCCCCTGCTTGAAGCTCTGGCCTCCTCGCCCTGACTCATGGGGAAAACCATGAGCTGCAA